GTCATCTAGTCCACACCTCTTATTTTACAGAAGAGGAAACTGAGGTCTATGTTATGTGACTTGTTTGACATGACACAAATACTAAGTAGCAGAGTTGGAATTTGAACCCAGGTTCTCTGACTTCAGATCCAGCACTTTAACCTGTGTTACAGGGTTATTATGCAGTAACATAGGTAGCATGATCATTATCTACATTTTACAGATGAGGGAGCTCAGGCTCATAGAGATTAAGTCACTTACTTGCCTTCATATCACTAGTAAGTAGAAGACCTAGGCCTAAAAATCAAGTACTTGACTCCTTGGCCAGTGATCTTTCCACTGTATAATTAAGTGAGTCCAGGTGATGTGTGTGTGTGTGTGTGTGTGTGTGTGTGTGTGTGTGTGTGTGTATGTGTGTGTACTAGTGGTACTCCAGAAGTGGAACTGTAACTCTCTTAAAGGGTCTTCTCATGGTGAGCACTTACTCCTCACAGGAAATGACTTGAGAAAAGTTTGATCTGTAGAATTTTTTTTTGTAATCTCATAAATGAGAACTTGGAAATTGCTTCAGAGGATAAATGAAAGGATTGGGAGAGGAAGGGCCTCCAGAAGAGAAGATAAAGGAGCTGGGATTATAGTATCATTGATGCAATTAATATTGTTTTATGAATGAATGCATTAAATAATTGGCTAACTAATGCATGAATATTGGGTTATCCAAAAGATTATATAGTTCTGGAAGACTGCCATCTTCACCAACTGCTAAACTATTTTCTAATTAAATAGAATATTAGCAAAGCTTGGTTGATTCAAAGTCCAATTTGTAAGGCCCATTTTAAATGAGACTCCAATCTGACCCTGTTCTTAGGATCATAGAATCCCAGAGGTTGGAAGACCCTTGAGAAGGGCATCTAGAATCACAGAATTCTGAAATCATTTAGTCCAATATCTTTCTTTTATAGATGTATAAACTGAGACCCAGATAAGTAAAGGAGCTTTCTCATGGTCAGATCAAAGAGTTCTTCAATTATACAGTATAGACCAGAATCAAGGTTGGTATCCTGATACCCAGGCCACTGTTCTTTCCACTACTCCATTTTGAGTATGTTTTGCAGTAACTGATTGGCTGTGTAAGATATCAAGGAAGGGTTGACAATAACACTGGTAAAGGTCCAGAACAAATAATTTAATGTATGGGATATCTATAGGATCACAAGATTATATGACTTTCAGAAAAATTATATTGAAAGATGTTATTTTTTCCCTTCCAAATTCATGGACTCTTTGACATCAATCCACAGATCTGTGGATCCCAAATTAAGAACCTCTGCTCTGTGTTGTGCCTTTGCTAATTCCCCCAGCTTCTGTTGCCTTTTTACCTCCAAATTATGGGCAGGTAAGTGGCAAAGGGATAGAAATTCCTTCAGCAATATTGCTGCTAAGTAATTATCCAGCCTCCATCTGAAGATCTCCAATGACAGGCAAGTTACTATCTGGACTTCCCTTTCTCCCCCAAGGCAGCTCATCTCATATTTGGATGACTCTCATTTTTAGGAGGTTTTCCTGATGATTGCATCCAAATCTTCCTTTCTATAACCTTTGTCCATTGGCCCTAGGTCCACCATAATAGGTCATAGGATCATAGATCTGGATCTGCAAGGGACCTCGGAGGTTATCTGGTACATTTTACAGATGAAGAAACTGAAGACGAAGGAAGCTAAGTGACTTGCCCAAGTTCACAAATGTAATAATGATAATCAGAGGTGTAATTTGAACCTACATCTTCTCAGTGCTTCTAATAACTTTCCTATATAACAATCCTTCTAGCAGGTGAAGACAGCTGCCATATTTTCCCTAAGTTTTCCTTTTCCCCCAGGCTAAATATCCATAATTCTTTCAAGTTCCTTCACACTGACTGTCTTGTAAAGCATAGTATAGAGTCCCTTTATTATATGGGTTTCCCTTCTCTAGTCAATAATCAATCAATAAACATTTATTAAGCACCTACTCTGTGCCAGCACTGTGCTAAGGCTGGGGATACACAAAAAGGCAAAAGATAGGCCCTGCCCTCAATGAGCTCACGATCTATTGGGGCAGACAACATGCAAACAAATATATACAAACAAGCTATAGATACAGGATAAATAAGTGATAATTAACAGAAGAAAGGCACTAGAACTAAGAGGGCAAAGAGGGAAAGGCTTCCTTTAGAAAGTGGGATTGTAGTTGGTGCTTAAAGGAAGTCCTACCAATGGTATTAACAACAACAACAATGATATTTATATAATGTTCCAAGGTTTGTGAGTTACCTTGCAAATATTATCTCATTTTATCCTCACAACAACATGGGAGGTAAGGGCCATTATTAACCCCATTAGAATCCACATATCGTGATTCTCATTTAGTTCTATGTTCTGTAATATCTATGATTTTTATCATATTTTACATGAATAAATATATTCATATTTATTATGATTTTTATCTATTTTATTTTTTATCTATGATTATGAGTCAGTGATTTTTTTGAGCAGACAAGTTGCAGAGCTAAGTGAGGAGAGTATGGTTCCCAGTTCATTGAGCTCATAGCCAGCCTCTAAAACTAGAGATACTTTAGTCTCTGGTACCTGATCAAATCTACCATAAAAATTGTGAGCTGATGCCAAATGGGGAAGGATTTTTCCCTCATTGTTTTTGAAACAGCAAGACTTTTTACTTAAATATCTTTCAAATGACTTCACAAGATGACCTCTTAATTACCATGGGATCTTTAGCATTCTCTGCTTTGCAACCATTAATTAAAGAGTCTGCACTATCTCCTATTATAGGAGAGGGAGATAAACAAAATAAAATGACTGCTCTTGGGTAGAATAGAGAAATTTTAAAGTCGAAAGTATTAACTTCATTCTGCTTCGAACTTATTCTCCCATTTTGAAAATAGAAAGGTCAATTAAAGTTTTGACCATACTTTATCTAACACCTTGCAGAAGAAGAAATACCTATCTGTACTCCATTTTTTCCAGAGTCATCATTTTCCTCCAATGAATAATTAGTTTGATTAGAAACAAACATGATATTGGGAAATGGAACAGACATTACTTGTTTGATATTCTAAAGGATGCAAGTCAACATTGGCCTTAATCTCTGATCCCCTCATCTTGGATGCTGATTCAGTTCTAGGCTGACCAGAGGAGTGGATCTGTCTCAGGACGGGTTCTGGGATTTACTCATAGCTCTATAATCTCTCAGAGAAAGAGACTGGCCTCGAGTCACTCTGGCATAAGGGATATTCATGGACCAAAGATTTCAGAGGACAAAGGGACGTTAGAGACCATCAATTCAAACTCCGGCTTTTTATAGATAAGGAAAACTAGGCTCAGAGAGATTATGACTTGTAAGGGTCATCTAAGTGCCTAAGGTGGGATTTAAACTCATCCTGACTACAAATCCAATGCCCTACACACTACACCACATTGCCTTTTGTTTTGGGATTTGTCTGCTTTGGGAGGCAAGGTTCAGAAAGTATAGTGCGCTGACTGGGGCAGGAGGTTCCAAAACCGAATCAAGGCTTCTTTGACCTTTTAGATTGCTTTTGAAACTGTTCTAGTCTTCCTAGAGCCCTATATACTGGCTGTGATCTTAGGTTAGTCCTCCTCACCTGGAGCTATTGATTATCAGGTCCTTAACAGAATCAGAGTTTTATAGTTGGAAGAACTTTGGAAATCACTTAATTCAACACCTGCCTGAATAGGAATCTTGTTTTCCCCCCAGCATGCCTGACATATAATTGTACATTTTTAATTTGAAAATTTTTAGTAGTGTGGAGTTCTATGTCCAAGAAATCCCCTTGCCTTCCCAACCCCCAGATTCTGTTCCCTATTTTCCATATTCATGTTACCATCTGCCCTTTTAAATCCCCCAACATTTTCCCACTATACCTAGAATGAAAACTTTAGGAAAAGTCTCTTAGTGATAGAGGTGAGCAGAAAGAATGAGTACTTACATGGCTCCACAGTCACTTGGGTTCTCCATCCAAATGTTAGTTTCTCTTCAGCATACATTATGGAAGGAGGGGCTCCCAAAACTCCAAAAATGTCTATTTTCCATCGTTTATTGGACCTAGGCCCCAGCAAGCCTTCACTTCCATGCTCAGCAGAATGGTCCTTGTCACTTACTGTGTCCTAGTCATTTCTCCTGAGTTCCAATGGCAGCACTGGCTTAAGAATTAGGTCAAGAGAAGGTTAACATTCCCTTTAACCTTTCTAAAATATTAATGTTTTCTTCTTCTCGCTCCCCTTTGTCTGCCTCCCCCAGCCTGTCATGATTAGTCATTGTCGTCTAGGGAAACTTGAAGAATCTGTAAGAACTCTAGAAAGAGGGACTTGCTTTTATCCAGCACTGAGATTCCAAAGCATGATTATTGAACTCCACGAACAATCAGGCCAAAAAATGGTGGGCATACACCCAGGTTTTGCTGATTGAGTCCAATTTTAGAGCAACCTGGCAGGACAAACAATTCTCTCCAAGCTCTCCTTTTCAGGGTGAAAGCTGAGAGGATTTCTTTGGGGTTTCCCAGAAGCAGGTGTCTATTAGTTTCTGTCCTGAGATGGAATGAATATTCAGCAGTTTTGTTCTATTTCCTTAAGAGCTGTAGGTATCTTTCCAAAGACACATCTCCTTGTATTCCCTCAGGTGCAGCCATAAGAAAATCCATCAGTCAAGAAATGTGACGAAGAATCTTTGGGTTTAGGAAGATAGTGCCTCAGTCTGGAAGAAAACCTTCAATATAACCCCATTGGAACAGAGTGGAGTATGGTAGACAGACAAGCAGGGCAATGGTGAATCCTTCTCTGTCCAGTTTCTCCTCAAGTTGCTTCCTCAGCACATGGAGTGGGCAGCAGGTCCACTGCTATGGCTACTTCCTGGGACATTGTGGTTAGGGTGAATATTTTCCATGAAAACGCCGTTTGCCCCAGAGTGATTTTTTTGTACGGGTCCCTATGGAGACTGTAACACTGTGGATATCCCACCAATCACAGTGCTACAGAGCTTTACAAAAACCTCCCCAGTGTCCCTGAGAATGCCCCCAAACAGTGGTTTCTCAAAAGCTCTGGTGAGATCAAAGAGTTTTCAATGGCAGTTGCATTCAAGACAGATTTCTCCAGGTGTTACTGTCAAAGATAAATTTGATATGTTCATGTAGCCTTGAACCAGCTAATCCCTCTGTCTGCCTGGCTAGGTGAATCATAGAAGTTTAAGACTGGAAGTACTCCAGAGATCATCAAGTCTCCCACTCCTTGCTTTCTGGAAGGTCTATCATTGAACCCTTCCAGACAGTCATCTGTATTGACATTTTCTCTTATACTGTCAATTCTTCATTTCCCCTGTCTGAATTAGACATGTTGTGACTCTTGGGGAGAAAATGTTTGTCAGTATAATTTTTCTCTGTCCCCAAATCTGTCACCAAAGATTTCTCTTGAGAAGTGTGCTCAAGGGAATGCAAAAGTGGTATTAACTTTGGATAGCTAGATAAAGCTTACTATGTACCAGGTGCCGTGCAAAGCAAGATTTTGGAAGAAAAATTTTTTGCAAAAAGTTTCTTATCATAGAACACATTCCAAAACCAAAACAAAATGACTTTCATATCATCCAAACTTCATATTTCCCATGGTGCCTAACACACTGTTCTGTGCACAGTAGGGTCTTCATAGATTTTTTTTTTTGAGTGGATGAATTGACTGTTTAAACCATGAACAATCAAGAGGTGATTGTACTTTTATAAAGAGAATCTTAGAATTTTAGAGCTGGTAGGGATTTTAGAAGTGATCTTGATTCCCTATCTCCCTTCCTAATTCATATGTAACAGGTGAGGAAATTAAGACCCACAGAGGAAGAAGGGACTGACCCAAAGATCATAAAAGAAGCTGATATGAAAAGCCAGGTTTTTGGACACTGTCTATGGCACTTGCCACTGCACTGAATAAATATCAGTTCTTTTCAGGAGCCCATTCCAGTGTCCAACAGGCCTTATTTTGTGATCAGAAAGTGTTTCCCAATATCTCTTAAATCTTTCTCGTAGTCCAAGAGTAGCCTTTGACTGTTATGTTAGTTTCCTCATCTCTAAACAACTATTCTCCATGCCATTCTTCACACATGCTATTTTTCATACTCCATCTCCCATCTTTGTGTCTTTACACACCCATGTCTGGGATGTTGTTGTTCGTCCTTCATTTTTGGAGAAGACCAATGACATCTCAGTGTTGGGGTTAGGGTACAATGTGTTTGGCTGTGGCTGATCAATCCAATGTGAGTATGGAAGCCTCTACTACAAGTTGGGCAAAAGTAGTCCAATGGAACATTTGGGATGGAGTTGGCTCTGAATTTGACCAGCTCGTGTTTTCTTTGTGCTACTGTGATTTTGCTTTGCTCTTGGAGTACAACAGCTCCTTTGAAGTGAACCCACCACACTGGGAGGTCCTGTGTCTGTGTCTCTCATTTCTCACAATCAATACCAAAGTTCTTCAGCGAGACCTTGAGAGTCTCTTTGTACTGCTTCTTCTGACTATCATGTAAGTGATTGGCTTGTGTGAGTTCTCCATAAAATAGCCTTTTAGGTAAACATGCATTTGGTATTTGGACTACGTGGCCAGCTCATTGGAGTTATGCTCTTTGCAGTAGAGTTTGAATGCTTCCTCGAGTCTACCTCTTAGAATCTAGTTCCCTTCAGAGTTAAGCACAGGCATCACCACCTACATGAAGTCTTTCTTGATTCTTCCAGATGCCAGTACTTTGTCCCTCTCTCCAACCACTTGTTTTTATTTTGTATATATATTTTACATACTTATATACGTACATATTTTCTCTCCTAATAGAATGTAAGCTTCCTGAGGGCAGAGACTATCTTGCTTTCATATTTATATCCCTAGCACTAATCACAATGCCTGGCTCGTGTTTGGCAAACTCAAGATTTGTTAATTGGTTTATTGGTTGATTGATTGGTTGAACATGTATTGAGAAATGCGTGTTACTGGACGTGGAACCAGAAGATTTAGATTTGAGTTGTGGCTTTGTCCAAGTCCTGTGACCTTGGGAAAACCATGCAATTTCTCTGAACCTCAGTTTCCTCATCTGTATAATGTGCTTAATCATTCTTGCACTACTCACGTTACAGGGTTGTTGTGAGGCAAATGCTCTGTAAAACATAAAGCATTTAGTTTAACAACAGCCGTTAAAATTGCGTCTTTCTATTGCTGCACAGACATTCAATTGGTGAGGCCCATCATAGCACAGTGGAAAGAATGCAGGCTCTGAAGTCAGATGACCTGGATTTGAATCCTGCTTTTGCACTTACTATGTGTATGGCCTTGGGCAAATCGCTTAACCCACCTGGGCCTCAGTTTCCTCATCTGTAAAATGAGGAGGTTGGACTAGCTACTCTCTGAAGGCCTTTCTAGCTCTGCATCTGTGACTGCCTCGCTCTTCCTTTAGCCAACCAAATACCATCTCCTCACACTAGAAGGACGGGGCAATTTCCCCACGTAATTCACCCACTCCTTGAAGCACATCTGGGTTGCTCAATTATAGCTCTGATGATAATAATTAGATAATTATTAGATAATAATTAATAATAATACTTGCCGTGTAGACATCTTACCCCCTAAACACTCTATTTGAACTCTGGAAATCAGGTAGGTAATTGCTTCATTCCAAAGAAGACTTGCTGAGTACCTACTGTATTTCCTTTCTATTATAATCCTGCTGAAGACGAGCTCCGCAATCCTCTAATAAGATAGTCTAACATGGGAGTCCATGAGTAGATTTCAAGTAGGTCTATGAACTTGGATGGGAAAAAAATACATCTCTATTTTCACTAGCCTTTAACATGAATTTATAATTTCCTTCAACTATTTAACAAATATTACCCCGAGAAGGGGTCTTTACCAGATTGCCAGTGGCATCCACGACAGAAAAAAAGGTTAAGAATTCTTGTCTAACTGCTATGTTAGAATAATAGCCAATCTTCAGGAAGGATTCATACCTCTAATCCTATATTTACATTTGTAAGGAGAGTAGCTCAAAAGAAATCCAGCTGAGTTGCCTAACTTGTTCATCTCCTTAATTTACCCTTCATATTAGATGTAGTTATAATATTTAAAAAAAAAATTCAGCGTGACCCTTTTCCCAAAGGGACTGTGGAGAAGAGAGAAGAGATTTCTTCTGTTCCTTCTCTTAGGTGTGGCTGGAAATTATTGCAGTGAATCACGAGACTATGAGAGAGGGGCCCAGATACAGCTGTTAGAGGAACATGGTGGACCTATTCCTGTGAATAGAAGAGTTTCTGTCAGGGCACATTTTCTGGATACATTAGACTCCTGTCCTACTCTTCCCCCTTTTCAGTCTGTGACTTAGAACAATGAAATATATTCTGAGGGATTAGATGCCAGCACTGAGCTGTGCCCATAGTGATTCTCCTCAACACCAGTCAGTCATCATTCCTAGGAGAACCAAACATTAGTTTTCAGGGAAGTTTTACTAGAAATATCTCCTATAGACTGCAAAATACCTGTGCCTGGTACAAAACTTGACTTTGAACCTAATAGTAGGAGTATCTTAGGTCCTGTCATGTGCCTTAGATTGGAAGAAGTGCTTTAAGAAAGAAGGAGTAATTGGGTTTGGGGAAAATAAGGCTTTCTCTGCCATAGCATTGGACCATTGCTGTTGATAAGAAACTGCAGAGGGAGGAAAAGCTGGCAGTTTTCCAACAAGACCTCATTAGGTCCTGATTACCAGGGTATGCGTCATGTGCAATGATATACAGTGATACAAAATCTTTTTTTATTTTTGTCCTCTCTTACATTCTGCTACTGTCTTCTGTTTGGTGTTAAAGCCCTTTGCAACAACACGGCCTTCTGTGTACTTTTCCAGTTTTCTTACGCCTCATAGTCACACAGTCTATGATCTAGCAACACTGGGCACATATGATGCTCCACCTTCCCCTGAGGGTGCCTCTGTACTGGCTCTCCCTCTTGCCTGGAATGTTCTCCCTCCTTCCCACCACCTCCTAGCTTCTCTGGTTTCCTTCAGCTCAAATCTTACCTTCTACAGGAGGCCTTACCTCATTTTTGCCACTGCTAGTCTCTTCTCTCTGAAGTTACCTTCCATTTGCATTGTATGTATCTTGGATATACTTAATTATTGTCTCCTCATTAGAATTTGAGCTCCTTGAAAGCAGGGACTTGCCTTTTTTTTTTTTTTGGTGAGGCAATTGGGGTTAAGTGACTTACCTAGAGTTACACAGCTGGTGAGTGTTATGTGTCTGAGGCTGGATTTGAACTCAGATCCTCCTGACTCCAGGGCCGATGCTCTAACCACTGTGCTACCTAGCTGCCCCTGACTTGCTTTTCTTTGTATCTACAGTGCTTAGCAGAGTTCTGGGCTCATAGTTATTGCTTAATAAATGCTTGTTTACTGACTAGTTGATTCACTCTGCTGTCCAGAACACTTCAGAAAGTTCCTTACTCAGAGCATATTCTTGTGTTCAAGAGGGACTAGTACCCCTGCTGTGAGGGCTTGCCGAGCTCTTTTCACTTTTGGTATTCTCTTGGCACTTAACTCTCACCTGTGGATCCAAGGAGTTGCAGGATGCACAGCAGCCACACCCTGGCAAACCATCTGGGCAGAAAGATTAAACCAGGTTGAGGGTAACTGATGGACCGTAAACCCATGGGTGAGTTAGTGGGGTGTCTACCCCAAGCATGTGAAGACTTGCCCCAGTGGAATAGGTGGATGAGGACAATTTGTTCCAATGGTCATGAAGGCAGCTGAGGCAAGCTTTGTGGAGCTTGGTCAGACATCAAAGATGCTGAGGTCACCCGCTGCATCCTGGGCAATCACCAGTCATCCTGACTTTTGCCTTGCTACTGGACTTCATTGACTCTGGAAGAGAGAGTGAGGTTGAAGACTAGTGCAACTCTGCCTCACTTCAATCTGATTCACATACGAGTCAAGACATCACCCTGTGATGTCATTGGTCC